CGGTCCTGTTCAGTGACTAATAAAGGATCGTCATTGTCTGTGGATCCATATTGTCCTACAAGGTCGACCCCGTTCTCATCTCGCATCCAAATACTTATATTATAACGTTTTTTTTTTTAATGTTTCGTTCTTAATTAAATTAATTAAGTCGACATCACAAATGACTAAGAATATTACAATTGCTTTATAATTCGATCAGTAACTTGCCATCTCTTAAAGACGATTATCTGTCTCTGATTATTTCGTGACCAAACAGTTCACGTCGTCGGCTAGTACTTAATCTTATTATCTCCCTTTTTATTACTGAATTTAGTCATCTTGAAATGCATTCAAATGACTAATCTAATTGCCAATAAGACTAAAAAATACTTTGCTTGCATTATCATTAGATACGAATAAATCTAGGAAAGTTGCAACGAAATCATTGCTTAAGATGTGTTAAAATTGTATTTCTCCTTGAATAAAGTAAAAGTGAAATACACACAAAAGCACGCAGTTTAAGTGTGTAATAAACTTTATTTCAAAAACTGATAACGAAACAATACCATAACGTTATCATAAACCTTAACGCTATTTTCTTCTAAACTTCATTTCGATATCATTTAAAGAATTATACCACCCAGTCACATAATACCAGAACACTCCCTGACTAGCATTAGTGTTCCAGACGCCTGTGGGATGGGTAAAGTAGCAATCATGGTACCACTATCCGCCTTTTGGAGCGGTGGGGCAATTACGGTAGCTTCGATCCTTGTCGTAAGTAGAAAACACTTTGTCTTAGTGGGATGTCAGCGAGTCACCATCATCGCCCGTGTAGTTTCCTATCATCAGTTTGTATCCATCCGCTTCACTCTCTACTTTAAAATTGTCATAGACGGCGTAGTAAAACTTGCCATTGTAGCGCATGTCAGCTCTGAACTAGTAGTTTCCCTGAATTTTTCAACAGAAAAATGTCAAATTTTAAATTATTTCCTAATATTCCTAAACCATTGAGCGCCGCACCCCCCCCCCCCCCCCACTAAACACACAATATCACTGTTTCAAGGACGAAGCACTCCCACCCCGTGCATTTTACTGGCACTATACAGGCGTATTTGGAGGAGGGGGTGAGAGGGCATGTTTATGACGGTGGCACAAGAAATTAAAAAACAATACCAAGACTGTCACTCAATAATGCAAGAAAAAAAATGATGACGGTATTGTCTTGAAATTGCCATCTGTATTTCCCAGGATAGCGAAAAGATGGAGTTTTTTTTTTAATTAACGACGGGTATATTACTGATGCGATAAAGATAAGCCGTAATTTGAAGAAACTGGCAACTAGTATTAGCAATAAATTTCAAATAAAGCATATAACACAAAGATCCACCAAAAGAAGAGGGATAAAAAAAAACCCAGCGCAGAGAAGTTTTCAAAGAAAAAAATGGAAAGAATTGTTCAGAAACGAAACAAATAACAAAGGACACAAACATGGGGAGAAACTGTGTATGACCAATCATTCAGATAAGAAAAATCGAAGACGAAGGAGATATCACTGATGGAGTAGTGAACCTTTATCTTCCCAGAGTGTAGGCCCTAAAGTGAGAATCTGATTTTTTTTTGTACTTTTCAAACAGTTAGCTGTGGGACAGTTGTGCCTTGTGAGACGATAAGAAAAGTAAAGGTTGTCCAGATGCAGCTCAAGCATATCTGGGGTAGTTCGTGAACCATGTCACACTTATTTTTTGTTCAAGACTTTTTTCTCCAGGAAGGGGGTGGGGGCTCTTGATATTTTCGGGGGGTGGGGGGACGAACAACATTTTCCGGGAGGGGGGGGGGGGGCGGACACTGGTAAAAGTGTATGTTTTCTATATAAATTCAATTTCGTTTGGGGGAGGGGGCGGTAGACTTTTTTGGCGGGAGGGGCGATCCCCCCCCCCCTTCCCCCCACTCCTAAAAGAGATGCCTGGAAGAAACTTGGTCACACTCCGAGGGGAATGAAAATTTGTGTGAATGTTTTGGCATCACATATTTGATGTAGAAAACTGCTAATCAAACCCGTAAAGTCAAGTAGAAGTTTATTTTTTTTTACTTCGACTTTGAATTATTCGGTAATGCAGCTTAGAATTAATTTTTATTCCGTTAGGTTTAGCCACCCCCACCCCCTCCACCCCTATTTCCCATTAAACTGCCCCCACCCACCTACCACACCACCTCCCGTTTCCAACCCCCATCCTACCCCAATCCCATAAACGAAACAAAATAGAAAAATTATATAATTTTTGAATAGAAATTAAATACTTAAATTCCTCCACTTGAAATGTTAACTCCCGCCCCTCTCACCGCCACTCCGGAAATTTCATGTCATAAAAAACAAACTGATACCAAGTGCTAAATGAATGTGTCTGCTTGTGACTGGTAGAACCCAGTCAAGTTGAGAGTGTTTGTTTCGTTGAAGTGTTCCACAATTTAAATTCGTAACTTAATCGGGAGATCTGGCTAAGGACCTGTCGCGACACCGGAACATAAATGACACACTTTAAGTGTCAATTGGTGGATGATATAAGTATGATGTGGAGTATAATTCTAAAATAATCATCCAATATCAAGCTGAATTTCTGAAGTGGTTGTTTCGCAGAAATGTAATATTAGTAACATTAAGAATGTGTATGTTTTGGAACGGAAATCCTAAAGTGTGAAATTCAGCGGTTCTCAAATATTTTTGTTACGTATTGAAACATTCTTGATTAGGCTTTACATATAGGCCGTATCTTCTCATGTTCACCAACACATCTTCATGAGTTAGTCTGCTTCGAATTTAGCGTCAGCTGGCGAGCTTAAACGATTTTAGTTGATTTGTGACTGTTATAAGTTAATGGTTGAGGGGGGGGGGGGGGTTCGTCCAAAATTGACGTGACGCTTTTTGAACGATTTTTACCTCCCGCCTCTTCGTCGTCACACATCGTCACACAAACCGGCTACAGGAAATTACCCCCCTGGATATTCCCCCCCCCCCGGACATTCCCCCCCCCCCCCCGTATTTACCCCCCGGAGCAATTACCCCCCTGTCAATTACCCCACTGTCAATTACCCCCCAGGGGAATTACCCCCCCCCCCTCTCAAGTTAAAACTCCAACTAGAATTTTATACCTATATACTACTTTAATCCAAACCTTTAAAAAAAGACCAAAACCTAAGCATCCACCTTAGCCTAAAACTTCACACAAAACCAAAACCAAAGCTAGACACAACCCTAACCCTAACACTAGCTCTAACCCTAACCCTAATCCTAATCTCAACCCTAACCCTAACCCTAACCCTAACCCTAACCCTAACCCTAACCCTAACCCTAACCCTAACCCTAGCCCTAGCCCTAACCCTAACCCTAACCCTAACCCTAACCCTAACCCTAACCCTAACCCTAACCCTATTCCTAGCCCTAACCCTAATCCTAACCCTAGCCCTAAAACCTAACCCTAGCCCTAAAACCTAAACCTAGCCCTAAAACCTAACCCTAGCCCTAACCCTAACCCTAACCCTAGCCCTAACCCTAACCCTAACCCTAACCCTAACCCTAACCCTAACCCTAACCGTAGCCCTAGCCCTAGCCCTAAACCTAACCCTAAACCTAGCCCTAACCCTAACTCTCTACGGGGGGGGGGTAATGTCCTACTGGGCGGGGGGTAATTAACAGGGGGGTAATTGACAGGGGGGTAATTACTCTGGGGGGAAATATCCGGGGGGTAATTGACAGGGGGGAAATGCCCTGTTCCCACACAAACCTAGGCCTCCATCCCTAAAATGACGACATACCCCACCCCCACCCAAAATTGCTGTTGCTGCTTTTTAAATTTCGATTCATTTTTTTTTAATTTTGAGTTTGGACAATATTGAGCATAATAATTATTTTCTATTACAATTTACATAAAATATCCTTTTAAAAACGCAAAATAGCGGCTAAAATTTAGTTTAACGATCGTTAAGTATGACGTCCTAAATTGTCGCAAGGTTCCGACCCTCTCACCTAGTATCGTGACGTCATTCATGGACGACTGATAGAGTCAATAATGTCAAAATTGTTTTCTACAAACATCTGAAACGAATATCGTCATTAAGTAATGAAATATAGGCGAGGACAATAAATTTCGAATCCACCATGAAAGGAAAAAAAATACAAACATTTTTTTAGTAGCTGAATTGGCTGATCTTTTATAAAAGCGGGTCTCCAAACTACGGCCAACGGGCCTGATGCGGCCCGCGATGTCTTTTCATCCGGCACTCGGAGATCTTTTGGTCAACGGAAAAAAATGTTTGTTGGAGGTGGCTGAGAAAAAAATTCAAAAGAAACTGAAAATGTAGCATTGGGTGCAAATACCATTGACGAAAAAGGGCGGGTGGGTTTTATCAGTATTTCCCTAAGGAAGACTTTCCTAATATTAAAACTTTTGCATCAAAGTACCTTTCAAATTTAAGAACAACATACAAACTTTATCAAGAATGAAGTAGGCCTACGTGAAGAACAATTTGACAATAGTGTTTCTTTCAGACTTTTTTCCCGGGGGGGGGGGGCACTTGAAATTTGTATATATATATATATATATATATATATATATATATATATATATATATATATATATATATATATATATATATGAATTATATATATATATATATATATAAATATATATATATATATATATATATATATATATATATATATATATATATATATATATATATATATATATATATATATATATATATATAATTCCTTAAGGGGGTAGACGTTCTTCGGGGGGGGGGACGACTCCGTCACCCCGAAGAGATGCCTGGAAGAAACTCTGGCCCCCGAACTTATATTTGATAGTTAATGCGGCCCTCGGGATAAAAAGTTTGGAGACCCCTGATTTATAAAATGTGCGCGCCATCCAAAAAAAATGAGATCCGTTGTTGAAGATAACAAAAAAGATAAGGACCGCTAATTTATATAAAGAGAGCTTAATTGGCTCATTAAGTTATTTCACTTCTCAACTTCAAGCAGGAATCTAAACAATCTTTCATAATTTAACCATCAGAAATGCGGCTCATACTGCTTTGTTATTTTATATTCGTATCCTTAGTCAATGTTTATGGTAAGTAGATAAACGATAATTTACATTATTATTTCTATATAAAACATGTAACTTTTTACATTTTTTTAATAAAAATTGTTTTAATCACAAGCTTTTATGTACTAATTCACTAAAAAGTAGAAAATAAATTAAAGATTACTATTTAAATAACTATAAAGAAAAGCGTGGTTCACTTTAGTATCTATTGGATACCTTTACTAATGTTTGGGAAGAGACCCACGCTTTTCTTTATAGTTATTTAAATAGTAGTCTATAATTTATTTTATACTTTTTAGTGCATTCGTACATAAAAGATTGTTATTAAAACGTTTTTTATGAAAACAATTTTAGTCCTTTACATGTTTTTATTTACAAAAGAGTTTCATGACTAAAAACCACTGCGCGCTTATTTAAATGTGATGACGCGCTATTGAACGTGTTGGCGTGTGTGGTGTGGTTGGATAGAAATGCCTACTAATTTGGTCAAAATTTCAATTAATTCCTTAAAAAGTAATTAGGCATCCAATTAAGTCGAATTTAATGTCACAATGCATTGTCTTCATGTCTTGACCCACGTACCGATTACGAACCATATCTGTCAAGTAGAAGTGTCGGAATTTATGCTCCGGTGTTTCCATCTAGACTGACGACTGACGACTGACGACTGACGACAGACAGACGACTGACGACACAGGAAGTGAGTTAAATAAAAGCTTGTAATTAAAAACAAAATATTTCTGGTGCAGTAGGCCTATTAACAGTGCACAACAAATCAGAAAATTTCTTTGTAGTATTTAAACAAAATAGGCCTACTTGATTACGTAAAATAAACAGTTATATTTTCTATCAGGTTTTCATTTACATTAGAACAGGTTGTACTCTCGAAGTAAGACAATGTGATTATTAATGAGTAGTTGTGTCAGTATTGGCAGTACTTTATAGCTCAGAATATCGTCGGTATTGACACAATACGGCCGTGACTTTACTGTCAAGATAAAGGCATAACGCGGGGGGGGGGGGGGAGTGCATGCTTAGGACGGTGTCACCATTTTAGACAATTAATGTTGAAAATTAAATAAGAGAGTCAGCAATGCATGTTGGTAATGACGAACCCGCATGTCTATTACATCGGCATCTGTAGCGAAAAGATGCAGTGTTTTATTTCCTTTAAACACGACGGGTATATTGCTGATGGGAGATATTTTTTAAAACGTTCAGTTTGTAAGCTTATCACTGTACGTTTTGAGGGCTATTTCTCTTCTGTATATTAACTTCGCTAGATAGTTAGACAAAGACAGGGCAATGTGTAAATAACTATTAGAATAGCCAGAGTATATTATGACCTAACAAGGTGAATAAACTTGATGCAGATAATACAGTATAAGCCATGTCATACATACCTATAAAATATACAAGGCTACATTTTATTTTGTTTTGTTTTGTTTTAATTTAGACGCGACTTCATATTTTTTAAAATGCTTACGTTTTTATAAAAACCGTTATATAATGATATACTAATTTCAGTTTTATAATGTGATACTTATTTCACAGGATTGAAGTTGACCATGGACAGGGAAATGTACTTGGAGGCTAACAAAATTTACTGCGGTCAACTAGTGTGTGTACAGGATACTGACAGCCACGTGACGTCTATTGCTAACATGTCTATTTATAGCATCCGTGAGCGAAGTGGAAAGGTCATCATTGCTCATCTTTCAGAGCAAGGTTTACAAAAGGACAAGGACAGTCCGTACAAGGCAGCTGGACAGATGACCCAAACCACAGCTAAACTTACTGTGTCGGTGGAGGGGACGTCTGGGTGTGGTCTCGGCGCCTTCCTCTGTCAGTTGTATTTTGTTGACCCCCACGGGCGTGCAGACGTGAGAGAAGTTTTTGTTTTCCCGCCACCGACAGCAGACGAGTCTAGTCCGGACCTGAAGTTTTCCTTACAACTGGAAGTCCCGTGGTCAAACAAGCCCGTTGCTTTCAGAAATAAAGGGAAAAGTTTGGAGACAAGTTGCGATAAAATGTCCAAGGATACTTCGGAGATGATTTCAGAGGTTACACGTTTCAATGAATCAGAACAAAGACAATTAATTACCAGAAACGCTTTAATTGCATTAGACACAATAAAATTTAATTTAATGGAGTAGATGGAAATAAATTTTAACTTAATCTGAATCTAACCTTTTTTTTCAGTTAGGCGAAAAAGTAGACATCCTGCGTAAAGATCTAAGTACCACCAAAAGCCATGAGATTCACATTGAGGCACTTAAAAATATCGAAGGAAATTTAACGAAACAAATGGAGAATAAATTTAGAACGATTGAAGAAATATTTGAAGCCAAATTTAAAACCATGCAAGATAAGTTCGATGAGATCATTACAAATTTAACAAACAGATTACCTCAGTTTGGTGAAGAAACTCACGGTGAACATAAAAAAACGGTGACACCATCAAAATTCAAGAAGCAATACAAACAAACATAACCAATACTTTAAACTTGCGTTTCCAGAGCTATGAAAAAAACTGTAGTAGACAACATGATGAAATTCTTAAAGCCATTTACAAGTCCAGGTATTTTTTAGAGGTATACATATATATATTCGTTTACTTTACTTTTAGCTACTATATATATATATATATATATATATATATATATATATATATATATATATATATATATATATATGGGTATGTAGTTGCGTGTGTGATTAGATGTGTTTATCTCCCCGGCAGACTTCCCGCCCCCTACCAAATTGTTGTGTATAATTTATATGTGAAAATGAAGGAATGTGTTATAAAGCTACCACTTTATAATTATAATATATTTAAATAATGATTAGAAATTATTGATTTTAAAAGTACATGTGCGAAAAAGGATTTTCGTCTTCACATCTACTACCAAGTGCTGTATCGGCTTACACAAGACACAAAAAAATCTTGTGTGATACGAATACTGATGGTGGAGGGTGGATCATTATGGTGGTAAGATATTGATTTAAAAATCATTTTAAAAAAATTTATAATAAAAAAAAATTACACAAAATGGCTAAAATAGTAAAAATAAAGAATAGACTAGAGTCTCGTAGAAAATAGAATAGCGCTCAAGTGAACAGCAAACAATATAATAGTGCAGAATATTAGCACGTTATAAATTCATATGCGTTTCTTTATTTAGAATTCGGAAGAATCGTAAAATACTACTTCCTGTAAAGGGAAATTTAGATTAGAGAGGTAGACACTTAGATCTTTTACTTATATCTGAAAGTACTCAAGTTATTTCGGAAATCGCTGAAAAATTGACACAGAACTACAAGTTTTATATAATACTTATATATGAAATGTCATTAACCTACTTAACTTATCGTTTTCACAGACATGCATACACACATCCACACATCCACACAGACTTAACACACACAAACATACGGACAAAATTGCAAAACAATGTTTTTCTGACTCGAGAGGTGTAAAAAGTCGAGATTTGTGAAAATTTCGATTTCGATTTTTTGCACGCTTACAATACTTCCTCTATACTTCGTATACGAGAAATAAAAAATGTCAATACTAGCCACTTTTCTCTAATTGAGAAATTCTTAATTAAAGTAGGGGCACACGAGAGATGTTATATAAATAAAACCATTTAGAATATCTAATATTCTTAAAAGCTAAAATTATTTAGAGTGAAAAGTGTATTAATAGAAAAGTGACCAATCAGTTGTTATGTTAAATGTTTATTTACACAAATCTTTCAGCGACGTATTAAAGGTGATGTCAACTTCACCAGAAACTGGGAGGAATATAAGTGGGGATTTGGTTCTTTTGGCGGCGACTTTTGGCTGGGGAATGAGTTGGTTGCGACCATAACTTCAGAGGTAACTTTGTAAGATATTCTTGATTCCGTAAAATTGTAGTAAGCCATGTTTCCATTAATGATTTCCAGATTTTTTTTCTTGCTGATTAAGGATCGTCTGTTTCCTCTAGATACCAATCCGTTTAAAAATGTGCAAGCATCCACTACATGATTCTTGGTGACTCAACTGACAAGCAATAACACATGACATAAGATGAAGTAACAGATTTCACAATATCAGTCAGCTTTGTCAATTATGAAGGAGACTGTACCGTTGAAATAAAAACACGATTCTCTAAAGCTTAGCACGCATTTTAAGCTATGCAAGAAATGTGGCGAACGAAGAAAATATCTTCATAGACCAAATACATACCAAATACAGACTTATTAAAAGTAATACATTAAGCGTAAATTTGACTTCACTTACTTGACTTTGTCCTCTTTGCTCCTTGTGGAACATAGGGCCTCCATTATTTCCTTCCATTTCTTCCGATCCCTGGCTATTAATTTTGCAGTCTCCCAATACATCCCTGTTGGCTTCAGTTCTTCAAGAAGACTCCGCCTCAAGGTCTGTCTTGGGCGCCCTCTCTTCCGCTTTCCCTGGGGGTTCCACTCAAGCGTTTAGCGTGTGTCCCACCCAGCGCCACTTCCTCCTTCCTATTTGCACACCCATAGGCTCCTGCCTTGCTTTTCTCCATAATTCTATGTTCAGCCCTGTGTCCTGCCATGTTAATTTCAATATCTGTCTAAGGCATATGTTCATAAAGGTCTGTATCTTTGCTGTGCTTGCTTTGGAGACTCCGCATGTCTCTGCTCCTTGACATTTGAGTTAAATTTCCTAATTTTTGTGGTAATGGAGATTGCAGAACTTTTCCATATGGGTCGCAGAACTGTGAAAGCGCAGCGAGCTCTATTAATTCTAGCTCGTATGTCCTCCTCTGTGCCTACCGTTTAGCTGATTTTGCTGCCAAGGTAGACAAACTCTTCCACATCATTTATCAGTCTTCCTTCTATTGTCACGGGGGCCTCCTGGTTATTGTTAATTTTCATCATTTCTGTCTTCTCTTTGTTTATCCTGAAACCTATGCGCGTACATTGGCATGACAGTAAATGTTGGAAGGCTACCACCGCTACCATCCAATCACTGGAATCTTTCGCAATCACTGCATTCTTTCTAAATAAGTGTCTACAATGGACAAAGGGCATCCATTGGCCCAACAACATCTGCAATGCTAGGTTAATAAGAGAAATGAAAATGGAAGCAGTTTCACAAGTAATCGAAAAAAGATGGGCCGTGCATAAAGGACGGCTAAGACGAATTCCCGAAAGACAATTGCCGTTTGCTCGAAGGCTATCCCGTATTGATGTTTGCCCTAATGCAAGTGTCCATTTATTAACATAATTCTGGCAAGTGCCCATTCTGGCGTTTGTCCCCTTCGGATGTTCTTAAAGCTATAGGCGGCAGAAGAATATAGAATATATTTCCGGGTTTCCGACAGGCTTTTTTGTTCCTTCTCCTCAGATACAGTCCAGTTTGTTTATCTAGTTGGGCAGTTCAATTGGGCAACGGTCTTTGGTCAGTTTCGATCTCGTGACTTTCCGAGTAAACAAACGGGTATTCAACATCTAGACCACGCCGGCTTCACATCCTCCATGCTCCAACCCACACCCGCACGTCGCGTACACACACACACACACACGCACGCACGCTCGCTCTCTCTCACACACATACTCTACTACAGCTCATTATCAAACATAAAGTGACTTAAAATTTTACAAACGTCGAATACATTTACAAGTTGTAAGTTTCACGCTGTATGCAGCCAGAAAATAAAGTTCACATGGGGAAACTAGCATTAGGCCAAAAACAACCTAGAAGTTGTCAGACGTGGATCATCTTGAACTAGCTGCCATAGTAGAGACGTGGTTGTCGCCCTTTGTTCTATTCTATTTTTTTACACACAGATTTGTGTTATTTAGTCTAAAAATAGAACAATTCACAGATGCTACAACGATAACATGGGACTATTAAACGATCGCATAGTTTAAAATTGTTTTTTCTTCTTTTGAAAACTTCAGGGTAACTTTGAGTTGAGAGCTGATATGCGCTACAAAGACAAATCTTACTACGCCATCTACGACAGTTTTAAAGTAGAGAGTGAAGCGGATAGATACAGATTGAGGATAGGGAACTACACGGGCGATGCTGGGGACTCGCTTAAAGATCACCAAAAAGACAGAGTGTTTTCTACTTTTGATAAGGATCGGAGCTATAGCCAATGTCCACTAATTCACAAAGGTGGTTGGTGGTACCATAATTGCCACCTTTCCCACCCCACAGGTGTGTGGAAAGCTAAAGCTTCCAGTGGACTGATCTGGTATCATATCACTGGGCTAAGAGATTCTGTTGACGAAATAGAAATGAAGTTTAGAAGGAAATAACATGTATTTCATATCAAACTGTTCGTGAAACGATAAATAAAACGCCTGCATTTTATTTCTTTCAAATATGTTACTTAAATGTAATATAAAACATCGAAATTATATTCTCGAATTTTGTTTTACCGTTTTTCTTTTATCTTACGCACATTATAGATTTCATAAATATGTCTATATGCATGTTTTTATTTGCATTTTTACTTTCTCGTATATACGAAGTATAGAGAAAGTATTGTAATCGTGCAAAAAAAAAATCGAGATTTTTACAAATCTCGACGTTTTACACCTCACTGATACGGAAAACATAATTTTGCAATCTTGTCCGTATGTCTGTGTGTGTGTGTGTGTGTCTGTGTGTCTGTGTGTCCGTGTGTAAACACGATAACTTGAGTACCGTTACAGCTAGGTTGATGAAATTTCATATATAAGTATTTTATCAAAATCGTAGATCCGTATCAACTTTTGAGCGACTTTCGATAACCGGAAGTGGTACTTTTCCTACTTTGAATTTTTCAAAAGCCTATAACTTGAGTACTATTTCAGATAGATACATGAAATTTCACATGTAAGTAAAAGATCTAATTCTCTACCTTCTGTTAAATTTTGAGTAATTTCCGTTGACTGGAAGTAGTAATTTACGCTACTTTCGATTTCTCAAAAAATTAATGTAAATTTTAGAAGTACTAATAATATTGCGCACTATTATGCGCTTTTTTATTTGGCGTTCACTTGGTGTGCAATTAATTTGTCTACGAGATTTTATTCTATTTTTAAAACTTTAAGTATTTAAAATGGATTAAAAATCATGTCTATAGCCCGAGTTCCCATCCCCTGTTATTTTATATAAGAATATTCGAGAAAGTTTAGGGGAGATCACTCCCGGTTTATTTATGTATAATCAAACGCACATTTCACTTGTAAACAATATTTAAAATAAAAAGAAATTCGGCTAACATTTCTTTGGCCAATTTTGTGACTTTAGAGCTTATACTAATAGAATGTTCTATCTAGTTTTTCGTTAAAACTCTACATTGTAGACTTAACTACATTGCTGTTCTTTCACAGCATAAAACATGTTCGTGTGTGTATTTGTAAGCGTGTTAGCGGATTACTTTTGCATATTATTGTAGGACCTACCTAACACAGTAACTGGCTACTGATGCCTTAAAAAATTAAATGATTGAGTAAATAAATGTATGACCTCAGTCATACACATATGTGTGTGCTGAACACAATACTTACATATGTATTTCTATATCGATAAATGTAGATTTGTGAATCTGTTTTTGGAGATATTTTATCCTCTATGATATCTGCAGTATGATCCAACGCATTTTAAACTGACATTCTTCTTCTTCTTTGTTCTTAATTTTAGTGTTTAAAGGGATTCCCTCCAACACAATTAAGTATACGTGTCAACTGGTTATGCGCCAGTGAGGCCGTTGACTCAGATTTCAGCCTGCTTTTCTTTTTGGATTTGCTTCCATAGCCTTTGTCCAACCAAGAACAAACTAAAAGGCAGCAGTTTTTGATGTTGGAGTTGTCTCTCCTAGAAGTGTGGCTGTCCCCCGCCTCATCTGCCCAGGGGGGGGGGGGTCGTCACTCAGGACTTGACGGTTTCGCAAACATGAGCTTAACCGACCCGACCACGCCGATCTCTAAACTGACAATATGGATCAGGACAATATAGCCTTCGATAAAACTCATATGACCCACATATATAAAGCTCATATGACAAACATATATACACACAACGTATTTTAAAAATACCGACAGATTTACAGATTTATAGACTTAGTTTGTAGCTGCCAGTTGTGAAAAAATTTTTAAAGTATGAAACCTTAAGGTCAGATGGTTGTTAAGAAAACTTGTTTGAAAAAAATATGCTACTTTCAGTAACAATGGCAGCCATTTCGATACCTAATAAGCGTAATTTTTAGAAAGCTTATTGTTGTGAATGGTATTTCAGTATAATGCATGTGTATGAAAGTATGTGTGTTGTAGAATGATTCATATTAATAAAAGAGTGTGACAGTGTGACGAAGTACATAAGGTATGTGCGTTTGGGAGTAATATCTGGTTGTTTGAGGAAAGAGTTTAGATAAGTCTTCGTTAAGTTATGTTAAAGCATACATGTATTCGTTGTTCGTCGTGAATATAGTCTTTGTTTACGTTATGAAAGGCTTCGTCCGTGTCTATTACGTATTTAGCCAGTGCGGTAAACGATTAAATGAACTAATGCGGTCCTGTTCAGTGACTAATAAAGGATCGTCATTGTCTGTGGATCCATATTGTCCTACAAGGTCGACCCCGTTCTCATCTCGCATCCAAATACTTATATTATAACGTTTTTTTTTTAATGTTTCGTTCTTAATTAAATTAATTAAGTCGACATCACAAATGACTAAGAATATTACAATTGCTTTATAATTCGATCAGTAACTTGCCATCTCTTAAAGACGATTATCTGTCTCTGATTATTTCGTGACCAAACAGTTCACGTCGTCGGCTAGTACTTAATCTTATTATCTCCCTTTTTATTACTGAATTTAGTCATCTTGAAATGCATTCAAATGACTAATCTAATTGCCAATAAGACTAAAAAATACTTTGCTTGCATTATCATTAGATACGAATAAATCTAGGAAAGTTGCAACGAAATCATTGCTTAAGATGTGTTAAAATTGTATTTCTCCTTGAATAAAGTAAAAGTGAAATACACACAAAAGCACGCAGTTTAAGTGTGTAATAAACTTTATTTCAAAAACTGATAACGAAACAATACCATAACGTTATCATAAACCTTAACGCTATTTTCTTCTAAACTTCATTTCGATATCATTTAAAGAATTATACCACCCAGTCACATAATACCAGAACACTCCCTGACTAGCATTAGTGTTCCAGACGCCTGTGGGATGGGTAAAGTAGCAATCATGGTACCACTATCCGCCTTTTGGAGCGGTGGGGCAATTACGGTAGCTTCGATCCTTGTCGTAAGTAGAAAACACTTTGTCTTAGTGGGATGTCAGCGAGTCACCATCATCGCCCGTGTAGTTTCCTATCATCAGTTTGTATCCATCCGCTTCACTCTCTACTTTAAAATTGTCATAGACGGCGTAGTAAAACTTGCCATTGTAGCGCATGTCAGCTCTGAACTAGTAGTTTCCCTGAATTTTTCAACAGAAAAATGTCAAATTTTAAATTATTTCCTAATATTCCTAAACCATTGAGCGCCGCACCCCCCCCCCCCCACTAAACACACAATATCACTGTTTCAAGGACGAAGCACTCCCACCCCGTGCATTTTACTGGCACTATACAGGCGTATTTGGAGGAGGGGGTGAGAGGGCATGTTTATGACGGTGGCACAAGAAATTAAAAAACAATACCAAGACTGTCACTCAATAATGCAAGAAAAAAAATGATGACGGTATTGTCTTGAAATTGCCATCTGTATTTCCCAGGATAGCGAAAAGATGGAGTTTTTTTTTTAATTAACGACGGGTATATTACTGATGCGATAAAGATAAGCCGTAATTTGAAGAAACTGGCAACTAGTATTAGCAATAAATTTCAAATAAAGCATATAACACAAAGATCCACCAAAAGAAGAGGGATAAAAAAAAACCCAGCGCAGAGAAGTTTTCAAAGAAAAAAATGGAAAGAATTGTTCAGAAACGAAACAAATAACAAAGGACACAAACATGGGGAGAAACTGTGTATGACCAATCATTCAGATAAGAAAAATCGAAGACGAAGGAGATATCACTGATGGAGTAGTGAACCTTTATCTTCCCAGAGTGTAGGCCCTAAAGTGAGAATCTGATTTTTTTTTGTACTTTTCAAACAGTTAGCTGTGGGACAGTTGTGCCTTGTGAGACGATAAGAAAAGTAAAGGTTGTCCAGATGCAGCTCAAGCATATCTGGGGTAGTTCGTGAACCATGTCACACTTATTTTTTGTTCAAGACTTTTTTCTCCAGGAAGGGGGTGGGGGCTCTTGATATTTTCGGGGGGTGGGGGGACGAACAACATTTTCCGGGAGGGGGGGGGCGGACACTGGTAAAAGTGTATGTTTTCTATATAAATTCAATTTCGTTTGGGGGAGGGGGCGGTAGACTTTTTTGGCGGGAGGGGCGATCCCCCCCCCCCCCTTCCCCCCACTCCTAAAAGAGATGCCTGGAAGAAACTTGGTCACACTCCGAGGGGAATGAAAATTTGTGTGAATGTTTTGGCATCACATATTTGATGTAGAAAACTGCTAATCAAACCCGTAAAGTCAAGTAGAAGTTTATTTTTTTTTACTTCGACTTTGAATTATTCGGTAATGCAGCTTAGAATTAATTTTTATTCCGTTAGGTTTAGCCACCCCCACCCCCTCCACCCCTATTTCCCATTAAACTGCCCCCACCCACCTACCACACCACCTCCCGTTTCTAACCCCCATCCTACCCCAATCCCATAAACGAAACAAAATAGAAAAATTATATAATTTTTGAATAGAAATTAAATACTTAAATTCCTCCACTTGAAATGTTAACTCCCGCCCCTCTCACCGCCACTCCGGAAATTTCATGTCATAAAAAACAAACTGATACCAAGTGCTAAATGAATGTGTCTGCTTGTGACTGGTAGAACCCAGTCAAGTTGAGAGTGTTTGTTTCGTTGAAGTGTTCCACAATTTAAATTCGTAACTTAATCGGGAGATCTGGCTAAGGACCTGTCGCGACACCGGAACATAAATGACACACTTTAAGTGTCAATTGGTGGATGATATAAGTATGATGTGGAGTATAATTCTAAAATAATCATCCAATATCAAGCTGAATTTCTGAAGTGGTTGTTTCGCAGAAATGTAATATTAGTAACATTAAGAATGTGTATGTTTTGGAACGGAAATCCTAAAGTGTGAAATTCAGCGGTTCTCAAATATTTTTGTTACGTATTGAAACATTCTTGATTAGGCTTTACATATAGGCCGTATCTTCTCATGTTCACCAACACATCTTCATGAGTTAGTCTGCTTCGAATTTAGCGTCAGCTGGCGAGCTTA